AAGTTCCTGTACGACAAGGTTTGTCCGCTTCCGCTTCCATTAGGGCTGGGAGGTTGGCCCAACCCTAGTGCTTGTCACTGCTGTCTGGTCCAAGTCGCCCTCAATACTGGTAGGGTGATGGTCCTGAGTGCTGGTCACACTGAGTTTGGATAGTAGGGACAGGGGGTGCGTTGGGAGTATTAACGTGGGGATGGGTAGGGTAGGTGGCCTATCCTGTGAGGACAACCATTGGCTGCCGCTACCAGCAATCACCGCGGGTCTGGTCTTTGGCCTCTACAACACCCTGGGACCTCCTTGTTTGGTCGCGCACTAGTAGTCAACAACATTGTTTTCACAACACTGTGGTACAAGTCCTTACTGTGGTCGTTGAGCAAACTTTAAGATGCCTTGAGAAGGCTTAGGAAAAAAGTGGCGGCCTTCTTATGGAGGGCGGGCTGCGAGCGAAGTAATGCGATCAGCCGAGTGGCGTGAGACTCAATTATCCAGCCCAAGGCAAGGGGAGGCTTGGGAATCATCAACCCAGCCACAGAGGTGCGAGCGCTACGTTTGAAATGGGTAAAAAAACTCATCTTTACCCCCAGAGTCCATGATGTGTGTTGGCTTTTGAGCATCTGGCCCGGCTGGCTCCGGCAACCACTCGAGGGTTGCACCCACTTACATGGCTAGAGGACCATTTTTGGACAATCCCACGCAAACTCCCAAAAGGAAGGGAGGGGGTTGACGGGGGAGACCAGGAAATTGACACCTTCAGGCCATCTCTACGAGTGTCTTGGCGCAAGCTCCCACTCCCAGATAGAACCCACCCTGACCGATGGGAGGAGGTCTACCGGCAACCCTTGTTCAAAAAGAGGTGGGTGACAGACCTGAGGGGCTGCATCATATCGAGCTCAGCCCTACCCTGGAAAAGTTGGGTCAAACGAAGAATCCTAAGAGTCAGGGACGTCTAGGATAACAAGACACGACTGGATAACAGTTGATCAGCTACGGGAAACCCTACGGTACTGCCACCATGTGGAGGAATTTTTGGACAACCTAATTGAGGTCATTCCGCTAGCATGGTATCAAATCCTCAAACGAGACCTCACCCTGAAAGAAGAAGATTGGGTGACAAGGAGAAAGTTCCCGCCGAGGATTGGACAGATTCACATGGTCTCCCCCCAAACAGTCCTGGTTGAATACTATGCTATCACCAGATTGGGCACTCTTCAAGGGAGCAGAGCCCCCTTTGCCTGAAAGGAGAGAGAGTTAGTGTACCGGGTGAGGGTCATGGAGGAGAAAGGACAAAGGGTGGTGTTCCAGCCATTCACAGCTATCCAGGATCTGGCTCTGGATCCAGTAGAATGGACATGGAAGTCCCCCCAAAAGAGGGGAGGCCCCAACGCTGGTCATGTCAACCTTTATCAATTATCGGTCAAATCGGTCTACAAAATGCTTAGACCCAGGCGACACCTGGGGGATATGGTTAATGATCGATGGGCACGGCACCTCAATGTGGACCACGCCCTCCTGAAGCCGATTCGCTGGTTCAAGGGACAAAAGGTCAAGCCCATGAAAATCACCTCCTTGCAATGGCAGATAGCTCATCGGTGTCTGCCCACCAACGACTGGTTGACAGACCGCACGAACTTGGAGCAAAGAGGCCTGCTACGGCCGTGGTGTCAGCGTTGCCAGAGTCTTTTCCCGTCCCACAAGAAGGCTGAGACTATTGAACATATCTTTATGCAATGTCTGATCGCCCAATTTACATAGAGGTGGTGGGACCGCATCTGGCAGAAAATGGAAATGGACATCCCATGACGCTGGTCATGGCAGGCTATACTAGCTGGGCATTGGCCGATGGCAGGAGAAGTCACGACCTTTGTAGAGAACATGTATGGACTTGGAAGAAGGGCGGTGCCATGGGCACTCTGGTGGCAGAGGTGTACCCTGGCCCTGGGAAAAGTGAGGGTAGAGGGACCAGAGATCACATAACAGATTCAGCAGCAGGTGCAACTTGAACTTACGCAAAGATGGTTAGAAACGAAAGCACAACTCGATGTCTTCAGACAAATTGGCGATGTTAGGAGAGGGATTACAGCATTTTGCATAAACTGGGTAGGAGGGGAGAGAGAAGAGTGGATTGCCAAGGTGGGTGGAGTGGAGATAGGGGAGACGAACAGCAGGATTTGGACTACGGCCTAGTCTTCAAAAATTGGACAAGCACAGAGCCTTCGTTCCCACCAAGGCCTCCCTCTGATTTCCCGGACCCCTTCCCACCTCATGCTCTTTCCCTGGCGGAAATCCTGTCTTGAAAATACCCAACCCTACTTCCTCATGTTACCCACATCTTCACACACTCATATAAGGAGTTCCCCCCTGGAGCCCCCCGGGGAGGAACCCAGTTCTCAGCAGTAGTTGGGAAAGGGAGGAACTAATCCCTCAGCAGTAGGTATCTGGCGCCTGATACAGAGCGAAGAGGTCTTTTGAACTTTTTTCCTTTTTCTCAACAACATGCACAGTCAATCCTCTGGAAACCAGAGCAATCAATGCTGGCAGTTTTTTTCTCAGTTACCTTCCCAGACATTTTCCTGAACCTTTCCATGTTCTAGCTGAGGATTCATTCTCATTTCGCTCATTTGGTGGGTAGTAGAGCTTTGGTGTTTTCATAACAAACAAAGGTCCTGGATTGTCTAGTATTTTAGGTGAATCAGTGCTAGGAAGAATGGTTATGATCTGGCGCCCACAAATGGGTGAAGAGGCTCTGATTCATTCCAAGGAGGGATAGGACTGTCACCGTTTTTCTTCATGCAGTCCCAAAGCATTGCTGTATATGTGGGATGATGGACGCTGGACCCAATTTCCAGCAGGTGCAACTCCCCATCAATGGATGGAGTGACCTGAACGGTTTCTAGTAAGGGGGGGATGCTCATACCACTTCCCCTATTAGGATGTGCAGAGTGACAGAGTCTTTAAAAACACAAAAAGGAAAAGAAAAAAGGGGCCAGCAGCCTAGCTCAGTTGGTAGAGCACGAAAGCTTTGGACCGGGAAATCACATGGCCCCCTGAGGCACGCTGCGCGTTCACCAGCTGAGATAGTCAGCTTGCCCCCGGGAATGCCATTGTCCCTTCCACCCATCGCCGGGAGTTAGGCTCAACCCTGAGGCGATAGGTTCAACCCATAACCCTTAGTGTAGCGGGCTTGTGGTTCATAATAAATGAAGAGTGTGTTACTCCGCTTTAGGTAGGTAGGTAGGTAGGTAGGTAGTGGGAGGCGTATCGAGAGAAGAGTATAGGTTAGTGAAAGAAAAAAAAAAGAGCTAGGCCAGGGCCGTAGTCATTTTTCCCTTTTCTTTTCTTTTCCAGCTTGTTGTTGAGGTTGGATACTAAATGTGTGACAGTCACCTTTCAGTGGTCGGCCATATGGAGCCTCCTTATGAGACCACCTTCCTCCCTACCTCGCGACAATTTTTCTCCACGCACCACCTACTCCCAACCATGCCTCATGACGAGGACTATCACCCAACCACCCGACCAAGGCAGCGGGGTGAGACCGTAGTTGCAGGCACCAGGGGTAGGTCGAGACCCCACCCAGCCCATGGTGGAAGAATAGTCACACGAGCCTCGTCGTGTGAGTACTTCAGGTGCTAGGCATGACCATTGTACTACATACCCCTCAGGCAACTTGACCCCAATCCTTACGGTCCCCGGAATGAGTCCGTCGTTCCAGGTGTCTTTCATGGATGGTCCACGCATGAAATAAGTCGTGTCCGTCTCGTTGAGGACATCTGCAACGTCCCACTTGACTACGCCAAAGTGGGCAATTCATTCGGTGACTTGCACGGTCGCCGTCCCTAAACCAACAAGAATCTGGACTATGATTCCCCTCCCCCCCCAAGTTGTTGTGTTGTTCATTGTGTGTACTGCTGTTTGTTGTGGTTGTGACCTAAAGGTCCTGGCCTATTGTCAGCAGATGTGCGGCCCCTTTGCCCCATCATGTGCCTCACTGCCTTTTAGCCTTCCTCTCTTCCTGCCTTGGTGCCTTGTCGCCTGCTGCTCATGTGCTGCCTTGCTGCTTGCCTTCGTCATATGGCTGTCCACCCAACTTAAGGTGTCCGTCGGCCACTGGCTTTTATGTCACTTGCCATTCAGTGCCTTGTTGCCTCACTCTTGCCTAGGCAACCTTGAGCACAGGGGTTAAAGGAGATCATGACTCAAAACATCAATGTGGGGATTCTGCAGATTGTTGAGGCTTCAGCCTACTGATGACCGCATCCAAGTCTGTCATAACAGTCTGTCATGACCCTTGTTCTTTTCCCCTATCTTTTTCCCCACCCCACCTCCTCTCCCCATCTCCGCGCAGTTTCTCTATGATGCTGTTTTGCACATAGCTGTAATCCACTGATTAAGGAGATGTTTTGCATGATCATTTGATACCACTGAGTGTGGCACGCAGCACTGCAATGGAAGCGTCTATAACACCTTGCTGCCGCCGCCGCCTCAGGGGTCCTGCTTACTCTAGGCGATATGGTGAGTCCTTATCCCTCAGCCAAATGCATCCTGAGGAGAGGGAGAGTGTCGGGGTTCCACCTCCCAATGAGTCAGAGAAATTTCGACAAAACCATCCGGCACAGTCATGCTTTCTTCGTGGAGTTGTGCATAGCGAACACGACAACACACACACACACACACNCAACACACACACACACACACACACACACACACACACACACACACACACACACACACACACACACACCAACAACAACAACAGCAACGACATCCTTGCGACATCCTTATACACAGACAAATAGCAGACATGCAAAAGAGGTATAGAAGCAAGAGACCGGTGGGCACTGCAAATAAGCAGGGCTTATACACAGACACATAGCAGGCATGCAAAAGAGATATAGAAGCAAGAGACCGGTGGGCACTGCAAATGATCAGGTGAACGTGCTAAGATTCCCAAGAAAGTCACAGTCAGACAGGGCATGGGTGGGTGGTCAAGGAGGACAAAAAAAAAAAAGATTCCAGAGAAAGTCTCAGCCAAACAGACAAGGCATGGGTGGGCATTCAAGACGGCAGAAAAGTGTGTTATCGACAAAGACAAAGACGCAGAGTGTGTGACCGCAAGAAGACGCTAGAAAGTGTGTGGCCGCAAGAAGACACTAGAAAGTCTGTGGCCGCAAGAAGACACTAGAAAGTCTGTGGCCGCAAGAAGACGCTAGAAAGCGTGTGGTGATGGGGTCACTTTTTTTCCCTGTGCCTCTTTTCAAAACGAAATGGTAAGAAATGTGAAGAGGATGATTGATGGTGATGACAGTATGTATTGTGCAAGGATTTGAAATTTGAATTGAATGATGATGATGATGATGATGATGATGATGACGAGGAGGAGGAAAAGGAGGAGGAGGAGGAGGTGGGTTGGCGCTTTGCAATTAGATTCTTGGAAAGATCTGTGGCCAAACGAGCATAGCCTTGAAGGCGGCTTCATGCCTTGCGTCTCTTATGGTTGGGCCTACACCCGTGGCTAATCGCCGACCCTCCACATAGACCCTCACGCGAAACAACTTCCCGCCACGTGGACCGTCCTGCTCTACCACTCCTACCAGCTTGTACTCGGGCAACGCCAGGCGTTCCTTCATAGCCACCTCTTGCAGACTACTTATGGCACTCTTGTGCACTTCTGCAGCTTCTAGCATCACCATTCCCATCTTCTCGTCGCCTATTGGCTGGGGAAAGACATCCACCCCCAAAGTAGACAATGCAGTAGGAGCAGCAACAATAGGAACTGCACGAGCAGCAGCATGAGCAGTAGCAGCAGAAAGAGGAGGAGGAGAGGGAGAGTCTAGGGTAGAAGAGGGCTCAGCAGAACCTGTCAGCTCTCCTAGTCCCAGTTCATGTCTGTCTGTTGAACGGGTAGAGGAGGATGGAGAGGGGTCTTGCTGCTCAAGAGGGGGAGGAGCAGGAGGAAGAATAGTAGTAGGAGGAGGAGGAGGACGAGGAGTCCATGAGACTTTGCCAGGCTTCAGGGCCTCTGCCAGCAGAAGGGGCAGAATATGATGTATCACACACTCCTCCCCCTCCCCCTTCCCTGTGCATAAGGCCAACGCTCCAACGAAGGCCTCTAGTGTGTCTGCAACGAATCCGCCCCCCCCAAGATTGCTGTAATACTGGCTGCTCTTCCTGTTGACGTCACCTTTTGCAGGGGGGGTTGGCAATGGTGGCTGAGTAAGAATGAGGCGATGGAGGCCTAGGGATGGTCCCCAGGCCACCTTCTCCAAGTTGCGATTACTCACCATCTCTGAACGAACACAGGCCAGAGAGCCCATCGGCATACGGGGGAACAGATGTAACAAGTACCGGCTAGCCATGTGATTCAACACACTGTCACCTAGGAACTCCAACTTTTGTCGTATAGAGCTATGCTCAGAGCCTTGGTTAACAACAACGGAGAGAAAGTCGCCTTCCTCCTCCTCCTCCTCCTCCTCCTCCTCCTCCTGCTGCTGCTGCTGCTCCCCCTTTGTGCGATTTCGATCGCCATTTCCAATTGCATTGGCATTTGCATGGACTTCTTCTTCATTCGCCGGCGGCCGGCTGGCAGCCTTCTTCTTCTTCCCCTTCTCAAGCGGGAACAACCTTTGCAGTCTCCACAGTGTCTCCATGAACGCAGTCGTAATGGTGCTCGTAGGATTCCCAGCCCATCTCCTCCTGGACGCGTTGAAGTGCATGCGGTACTCTGCGTCTTCGATCGTCTTCGGCATCCATTGATTATAATAGCTGTCATGCACCAATGCTCGCAACAAAAGCTTCCTATTGACCCATTTTTCAATCCCCAATGTGTCTAAGAACCTCTCCATCTCTCTCTCATAATCCACCGGCAACGGAAGAAGCTCAATGATTCGATCGTTCAAATGCCACCATTCGCCTTCACCTTCTTCTTCTTCCTCTTCTTCTCCTGCTTCTGCTTCTGCTTCTGCTTTAATCTTTCCTTCTTCTTCTTCTTCTTTGCCCTTTTCTTGTTCGTGTTTCGCTACGGTTGCTGCAACTTTGGTCGAATCAAAATGCAAAATGTTTGAAGAAACCGATGCGTTTTTCTTGTTCTTCTCTATCTCCGATCCGGAACTATGAGCCTGTGGGTTATTTATAGAACACTCTTCAAACAGCTCCCTTTGCTCGCCAACTCCTCCCTCTCCCTGTGACTGGTTTTCTCCCTCGTGCTCCTTAGCTTCTTCCACAGACGTCAACCGTCGGTTGACTATGGCCATTCCCTCCATCCTTGGACGACACCCGACTGCCGCTAACCTTCCGGTCTTCTCCCCTTCCTCTCCCTCCTCCTCCTCCTTTTCCCTTTCCTCCATCTGCTCCTTGAGTGTGGAACTCTCTGCTGGATCTCGGACATCATTGACATGACCTGCCAGCCGCCGACATGGTTGTGTCATTCTCTCGCGCCCGGGTACTGTCCCCACGTTGTTGTTGTCCATCGTTTCCGACATCACTGACAAAGACCCATTACCATCAAGACTGCCAACATGGACCTGACCTACTTTATCCAGTCCCAATCCCGACAAGCAAGCCTGGTGATCGGTCTTGTCTCCGGTCTGCTGTTCAGATCCCGATGCGGGCTCGGTTCGGAAGGACCAGTCGGGAGAGCACGTGACCGAAGATGAGGAGAAGGAGACAATCCCTGCTGAGATCCCGGCGGCCATGGAGGAGGAGGAGGAGGTTGATGACGAGGATGAGGTCAGCTTTGTGATTCCCCTGCCACAAATTTGATGCTGCCAGATCACATTCATTACTGCAGATGGAGGAGGAGGAAGAGGGGAAGTTGGAGGCGGAAGCGAAGGAGTAGGGGGAGGAGGAGGAGGAGGAGAAGGGGGAGGGAGTGAAGCTGATGAGGAGAATGTATCCATAAAAGACTTGGTTGTAACTCTTTGCGGGGACAACGACTTGTGGTGGCCTCGATTGGCAGTCCAGCAGATCTCAGTCAGGAAAGTCATCGGATATCGAGCCATGTGGCTCGTGCGCAACGACCGTGTCAGGACTCCATCACTGCCGCCGAAGTGTAGGAATGTGCCACAAAAGGAAAATGCTCTCATCCCCCTCATCACCATAGGCGCAGGACATATGTCACCTTCTGCAGTCACCGACGTCGTTGAAACCGATCTCGTCATCACCGATCTCGTCATCTTCCTTGGCGTGATGGCCCGTTGAATGAACAAAGGCAAAGAAGATGTTGACGCCATCACCATCTGCGGCTTTGCCTTCCTTCTCCTGGGATGCCCTATCTGGCCATGACCAACACACACACAAACAAAAACAAAAGAAACACACACACACACACACACACACACACACACACACACACACACACACACACACACACACACACAATCAGTTGTCTGTTTGTCTGTTTTCTTGTTGTTGTCTGCTCTCCCCCTAATTTTTTTGTTACCCAAACTGAGCACCCTTAAGTAGTGCCAAACAGTCGGTGGTTCCTCGTTTGGCGTGCCTACTGCACTCGTAGGGGGGGCACTCAGTTCGGGTTGTCTGTGTTGCCTGTAGGTGATGACGGATGCTCGTCGGAGTAACTCCCTGGCTCAGTGGGTGGCGGGAACCAACAGTCTGTAGGGATCAACCGTGATGTGAGTAGGCCATGCGCTGCTTTGCTCCGTGTTGGATGTGTGGACTGCCTCATCTGCACACCACCGCCGCCTTGCTGCCTGTCCCGCTTGCTTTGCATGTTGCTCTCTGCAAGTTGCTGTGTTCACTGTGTAGTGTGGCTGTGTTGTCGGTGTTGCCTTGCGCTTCGCTGCTCCGCTGCCTTGCTGCCTACTCGCTGGCCGTGCCTTCCGTGTTTCCGCGCTGCGCGCCATGTCTTCTTTGCAGTCGTTTTTGGCGTTGTGCAGTCGTGTTGCCTCTACTGTGCTGCCTGGTGCTCCACAGGGTCGCCGCCCGCTGCTGTGTTCCACTTGGAGACAGTCTGCCTTCAACAAGGGTCAAAGGGTTCATGACCCAAACCATCTCATACGGAGATTCCCACAGATTGTAGAGGGTTCAGCCTCCTGACGAGTCGGTGCAATTCCGATGAAACAATCTTGTCATCATCTGATTTTATTTTTTCCAGTTGATGTCTGTTTTATACTTGGATTTTTTTGTGCTGTTTTTGCATGGTCGTTGTTTGGCTGGCTGTTGTTTCCCTTGCTGCTTTATGCTGTTTGCTTGCCCATTCACCCACCCTGTGCCTTTCACCCAGTGTGCTTTGTTGTCTGTGCTGTTTACCTYGTGTCGTTTGTTTGCCCACCCGCCTCCCCCGTGCCCTCCATCCTGTGTCCCTTGCTGCGGCTTGTCATTCTATGCCTTACTGGTTGTGTCTTGTATGCGCTCAATCTTTCGGGCTTGGGATTGTATGTTTTTTTCTGTCTTCCGTATGCCTAGTGGACTTGCAGTGCTACTTTAAGGGTTGTCTATTGACTTGACTCACTCAGATGTGTTTCCTCTTGAGATCTATTGTATAGGATGAACAATGTGATGGGGTCCTTTTGGAGGTTATCCTGTGATGTGACAATGGTTTGGAGTACATGTACTTAGGCGCCCTCAATATGTGTTCACACACATCGACACACACACACACACACACACACACAGCACACAGCACACACACACACAAACACACACACAACACACACACACACACACACACACACACACACAAAAGAGGGAGGAGGTAAAATCTTCTCAGTCAAAGTGACAGTTAGCCGTAGGTGAGTATGGCTAGCAACGGACACGCAACAAGAAGAAAAAAGGCGAAGTAGAAGAAGAAGAAGAAGAAGGAGAGGACGAATTGAATGGAATTAAAAGCGGGTGCCAATCGCTCTGCGATCTATGTTTCAAGTTTCAAGTTTCAACATCACAGCACCTGTACAGACATTGCAAGCTCACAAACGCCCAGAAGAAGAAGCTCTCAGCCTTGCCCTTCCTTTCTGAATCTTCTTGAGGTCTTCTCAGTCAACGGCTCCTTCAGGTCAAAGTCTAGAAGTCTTTCCCTATCCAAGGGCCAATGATGACTTGCGCGTCCGGATACAGTATCCGCACTGCCTCTTTTTTTTTTTCTTTTTTTTTTCGGTCTTCGCCATGATATACGCAGTCCTCCTCCTCCCTCCTCCTCCTCCTCCTCCCTCCTCCGCCTCCCTCCTCTTTCTCCCTCCTCCTTCTCCTCCTCCTCCTCCCTCCCAACACACGATGGTGTGTATTTGGACAGCCATTAAACAAACAAGCAAATATAGCAAAACAAGAAAAGA